AGGGTGGGCGGCCGTGGGAGTTTAGTGATGGGGTAGGCGGTGTATGGGCCGAGGGAGGGGATGGGGTGGTGACGTGGGGTGTGGGCTGGGATGGGGACGGTGTTTGGCGGCTGATTAAGTGGCGGAAATGTGGGGGGGTGCTGTCCTCCATGGCATCAAGGAAAGAGTAATCGGAAGGGGGCTGTGGGGGTGCAAACGGAAAAGTGGACTCGTCAAAGGTGACGTGGCGAGACACGATTATTTTATGAGTGGCGAGGTCCAAACACCAATAGCCTCGATGAGAGTCGGGGTAACCAAGGAAGATGCACCGCGCAGAACGTGTGGCTAGTTTATGGGGGGTGGTTGCGGATAAATTTGGGTAACAAAGGCAGCCGAAAACGCGTAAGTAAGTGTAGGGTGGGTGTGTTTTATATAAGGCTTCATGGGGGGCTGCGGTTTTGGAGGGTGGTGGTGGGTAATATGTTGAAGAGATGAGTGGCCATGTGAAGGGCTTCTACCCAAAATTGGGGAGGTAAATTTGCTTGGAAGAGTAAGGTGCGAACGGTGTTGTTTATGGTGCGGATGGTACCTTCTGCGCGGCCATTTTGTTGGCTGGTGTAGGGACAAGAGAAACGGAAGAGGATTCCCAACGACTCAAAGAAGGTGGCGAGAGGGTTGTTGCGATATCCTATGCCATTATCACACTAGACAGCTTTGATGGTGGTTTGAAATTGATTTTTGACAAGTGCATTAAATCTGACCAGATGGGATTAAGCATAAGATCTGTGACGTAAAGGAAAAACCCATAAGTAGTGCGAGAAATCATCAAGTAATAGCATATAAAATTTAAAACCAGTCACACTAGGAACAGGAGATTGCCATAAGTCTATATGCATTAATTGAAAAGGAAACTGAGATACAAGAGTTGAAGAATAAAAAGGTAGGCGAACATGTTTTCCTAATTGACATGCATGACAAAGAAACTCTAGTTTTGAATTATTATTGCTATCTAGAAAGGAAGAGATGCCACGGAGCACGGCTGGGCTTGGGTGGCCAAGTCGGCGGTGCCAGGTAGGGAAGTCGACTGTGGTGAGATTGACTTGAGCTGGGGGGGCGGGGTGAGGAGAATGGGTAGAGATGTCCGTCACTACTGGATCGATGAATCACGGCTCTTGTCAAGTTGTCCTTCACAGAGAAACCAGATGAGTCAAATTCAACTGAACAGTTGTTATCACGAGTAAATTGACGGACAGAGATAAGGTTGTGGATAATATGGGGTGAGACTAAGACATTTTTAAGGAAAAGGGGGGGTTAGTTTTGAGAAAACCGTTGCCAAAACCAGTTGTGCTAACTTTAGATCCATTACCTACAATGATATGAGAAGGTGAATAAATGTTTGAAGAAAATAAATGAGATAAAGCACTTGGGTCGGCGGTGATGTGGTGAGAGGCACCGGTGTCCATGAGCCAGGTGGGGTGCGGGTTTAGGGTGAGGGTTTCAAGCCCATGGGCAAGGGTGGTGGGGGAGGTGTGGGTCGGGTATGGGGGTGGATACGGCTGGGAGGGGGCTGTGGGTTGCGGGTAT